AAAAATTAAAAAAAACGTCATAGTATAGTAAGGCATAAAAAATGAAAAAAACGTCATAGTATAGTATGGCAAAAAAATGAAAAAAACGTCATAGTATAGTATATGAAAAAAACGTCATAGTATAGTAATGCATAAAAATGAAAAAAAAAACGTCATAGTATAGTATGGCAAAAAAATGAAAAAAAACTTCATAGTATAGTAAGGCATAAAAATTAAAAAAAACGGCATAGTATAGTAAGTCAAAAAACGTCATAGTATTGTAAGGCAAAAAACGTTATAGTATAGTATGGCATAAAAATGAAAAAAAACGTCATAGTATAGTATGGCAAAAAAATGAAAAAAACGTCATAGTATAGTATGGCAAAAAAATGAAAAAAAAACGTCATAGTATAGTAAGGCATAAAAATGAAAAAAAACGTCATAGTATAGTATGGCAAAAAAATGAAAAAAACGTCATAGTATAGTATCGCAAAAAAATGAAAAAAACGTCATAGTATAGTATGGCAAAAAAATGAAAAAAAAACGTCATAGTATAGTATGGCAAAAAAATGAAAAAAACGTCATAGTATAGTATGGCAAAAAAATGAAAAAAATGTCATAGTAAAATATGGCATAAAAATGAAAAAAAACATCAAAGTATAGTAAGGCAAAAAAAAGAAAAAAAACGTCATAGAATAGTATGCAATAAAAATGAAAAAAAAACAGTATAGTACGGCATAAAAATGTCATTTTATATTAAGGCATAAAACATCAAAACACATATTACAGCATGAAAACGTTTGAAAACATCATAGGATATTAATATATATAAATGCCTCAGTATAGTAATAATATCTTAGTATAATATGTAATAAAAATGTCATCGTTTAGGCTCTCCTAAATATGTATTAATTTAGTATTTAATATCCTGCTTCTCAAAGTATTGAGACAGGCAGGATTCAAAGCCACCCCTCAGCGACATGCATGTTCATGCAGTCGCAACCGAGCTCCCCTCTTTCTTAGAGTTCTTAAGTATTTCATATTGGTGTTGGACTTCAAAATTCACTAAGGCTTTTAAGAATTAAACCTACATATTCAGATCTACTAGGCAGCACCCTCTCAATCTGAGCTGTGTGGTCAGACAGTAGAGCTTACTTTATTCAGACTATCTCTTTTTCCTTTGACAGTAATCTTCTAACAGTCTGCTCCATCTGGTCATATTTAATACTTGCTCCTTGGACCCTGGATGTCGTGATTCAGGATATATTTTGTGTTTGTTTGAAGCCTTAAAAACAAATGTGTTCATTTTATCGCTTGTTGGGAAAATGACCTCTGACCCCCCCCCCCCCTCCTGACACACATACAAACTGGACATTGAATTGACATGAAGCATATGCATTGTTAACAACAATGAATGGAGGTTATCGTCCTCTGATGCAGCTGTGTGTGTGTGTGTGTGTGTGTGTGTGTGTGTGTGTGTGTGTGTGTGTGTGTGTGTTGTTTTTCTATCCCTGTGAGGACCAGTCGGAGTCTACACTGAGGACATGTAGTCTGTCAAAAAGCTGTGTGAGGGTGAAGACCTGGTTTAAAGGTTAAGGTTAGAACCTGGTTTAGATCCAGGCTGCAGTTAGAGGCTGAGGAATGGGTTGTGCTAATGAGAGTATTCACAGAAGTGTGTGTGTGTGTGTGTGTGTGTGTGTGTGTGTGTGTGTGTTGGGGGTTGCAGAAGCTTGTGTCTGGTTGCTTTGTATTGTCTTTGACCTCTTTAACATGAGCATCAGCTTCAGTCTGTCTGTGTCTCACCGAGTCTCAGTCAGTGTCTGCACTTTGTCCTGAACCACGTTTAAAAGACCTACTAGTTATAAAAAGCCTAAATAGATGGAACAGTGTCAAACTGCAAAATTTAAATAGGGTAAATGTTCCTCTAATTATTTGCATTTATTACCATGTCAGTTTGTTTTTTATCGTTTAACTGTACAGAAAAAATGTCAGCATCAAAAATAACATGATGCAACCTTCATTATCAGACTGATATAAAACAGGAAGAGAGCAAAACTCACTAGAGTAAATAGAAGCAGCTAGTATTTGTTTCTTTCTCTTAAAAATTGTCATTGATTAATGATTTTATCAACTAATTGATTGATCATTTCAACAAAGTCTCTAACAGGAAGTGTTAGAGCACGCTAACATGCTAACGTTTACTAAACGGCAGTACAGCTGAGGCTCATGGGCAATATCTGTCTCCTAGGAATGTGTTCACATGCAGAGTTAAGTCCCCTGAGAGTCTGAACAGAACCAGGAAACAGTTTAATAAAAGTGGAGTCACTACAGGTGGAGCTTGTACTATAAGTTTTGCTATTGCTACATAGCTATCGTTAGCATTAGCAGCTGTTTACTTACCAGTCTTGCCCATTGTTATGTTTACAAGACAAGAGATTATAATACTTCCTCTGAGCAGCTACTTCTTTGAACGCTACAGTGACTCAGTATCAGAAAGTGACGAGACAGGCCGACCAGGCCAGGGCTAGCTGGTTAGCATGCTAACTTCAGTAGAAGAAAAGAAGTGACAGAAACAGAAGCAAAACAAGAGGGTTGTTTCCATCTCTGGACACAGCTGTTAGTGAGTAAAGGAATGAAGTTTGATGCTGAACTCACAACAGTTGTTCTAGACTGGTAAGTAAACAGCTGCTAATGCTAACGTTAGCTATGTAGCGATAGCAAAACTTACAAATAGCTCCTTAAGAGATCAGATATTATGATTGAAAAACAAGCATGGTGTGAACATTTTTCTTTCTCGATTCTGAATCAGTGCATTTGTGACTTGCCAAATATATAAATGAACAACATTTCCTTGTCACATTTATAGAAAATATAATTACATTTCCTACAAAACATATTAGCTGTCGTATAGAGATGTAATTTCTAGGACACAGGTTGATGGGAGTTAGTTTTGCAGATATAGGACACTTTCTAATTTTGACCTGATGACCTTTGACGTCCTGTGATAATCTTATATATGTTTGAGTTCAGACAGATTACACAACCTCTGTGTGTGTGTTTGTGTGTGTGTGTGTGTGTGTGTGTGTGTGTGCAGGCTGAGGCCACGCTTTCCCAGGCCGACACAATACACTCACTCTACCCTACTTTGTAAGAGGGGGGTTGCATGTATATGGAGGGAGGCCTCTGACCGCCAAAACACCCTATATATGACACACACACACACACACACACGCCCCCAAACACCAGGTTAAATGCCACGGGCACTATTCAACCTTTTGTCGAGTGTGTGTGTGTGTGTGTGTGTGAATACGTTTCCATTTAGTGGCTCATTTTCTCTCTCACAGTAACATTTCTGACACGTCTGGAGCTTCACAGTTTTTCCTCATTAGCACTCCAGTGTTTTTCTTGACACATGCTGGAAGTTCTTCTTCTTGTTTTTCTGTCTCTGCCAAAACTGCAAACTTCACACCGAAGTGAGACCGAGGAGGGAAAACTCTGTGCTCTCCTCACTGCAGTGTGGAAACTGACAGAACCAACACTAACCCTGTTAACTTGAGAACCAGTGAACCAGTCTTCCTGTTCTCTCCAAAATGGCTCCCAGTAGTTTCCAGTCAGTGTAACCACAGCTGTTGTGTTGCAGGTTCCCTGGAGATAAATTAGTGTAGCTCAAAGTTATAAAAGGTCCATATTTTACACTTTTCCTGTGTTTTATTGTAAGTGTTGATCCATTAAAAGATATATTTGCAACGTTTTGGTGCCAGACCATCATCATAGCACAGAAACGTTGCAAATAAATTGTTTATTGCAAGTCAGTGTGCAGGATCTTTGAATTGCAACTTGGAAAACACTGCAGAAAATCTAATTTACAAATCCGTAATTTGGGTGAAATGACCTTTAAACTCTAATTTTCCTTTCAGCAGCTCCACCCTCACATTTAACCCCCTCCAGTTTATACATCAGCTGATGGAGACAAAACTAAACAGACCAAACTTATCTCATTTAACTTCATTTATTTAAAACATTAAAATATAAAAGAAAATTACACATTTTTGAGTTGCTCTATTTACAAAAACATACATTCTTAAACATCTACATACAGTTTACATGGTTGTTTGTTCACTGCAGATTCTCCATACATCTGTAGAGGTTTACAGTCACAGGTTTGTTTGATCTCTCGGCTGTTCGGCTCGTTCCAGCTTAAATTAAGAAGCCGTACAGTTCATCGGTTTGTTTGGCTCTTTAAAAAGGCACTAAGTAATGACAGGCTAGTGTACAACATTTAATGAGGAACTGTAATTCAACAGGCGTCAGAGCAAAAATCATAAATAGCTTTTGCCTTTGGCAGTGATCAAACTGAGCTCATTCATTGCTGAAAGAAAGATTATTTTTTTTGTTTGTTTGTTTTTTTGTTTGTTTTTTTACATATGAACATTTTTTTTCTTACATACTAAGGCTTTTCAATAAATACAAGCACTTAAAAAGCAAAAACTTTGCACAATTGTCAAGTTTCCCAGGAATGTAACAAAAACATGCAACCAGGTTGCAACAGTAAAAAAAAAAAGAAAAAAAAAAAAAGTAAGGGGTTTATTGAGCCACAAACAGGTGCATTTAAACATCTCCAGGTTTCAGGACATTAAACAGCGAATCAATGACTGATCTTTGCTGTGGCTCAAAGTAGCTACAAAAACACTTTGTAGTAAATGATCACATTGTTTGTTCCTCTGTGGCGGGGACAAGTGTAAATCTAAAGTTTACACCAGATTTAAAAAAGGGAATTTAAGCGAGAAATATAATTCAACACAACTTTAGTTCCTCAGTTCATCGTGGAATGAAATAAAAAAACATAAGAAATGATAAATTCCTCATTTCCATTTTCCTGAGAATCTGACTGAAGCACTGTCTGAGAGCATTTCCATTTCAACAGAGTAGCACCAGTAAGACTCTCAGAAAGTACCTGACAGGTATGAAATGTTTCCTCTCAAACCAACACAGTTTGTTTATTTGATAAAATAAAAAAAAGCCACAGCAGGTGGCTTCCCTGCCAGCGTCTCCACTTCACATCAGTGAACTCACAAGGAAACTGCTGCAGGTTCAGATCACAACTCAAACTAGTTTAGCTTTAAATTATTTAAAAATAAAGAGAACTTCAATTCCTGACCGTCTCCGTACTTTCAGATAAAATAAAGAGACTGACAGGAATCGAGAGTCTGAGCTTAGTGTTAAAAATAAAAAACGTGCTAAACGGAGTTCGTCTTTCCCTAAAATCAAACCCGGTGGTTGAGGAGCTGGTGTGGTCTGAGAGGTCGGCCGTCACTTCGGGTCAAACTGCGGAGAGGTAGCGTTCGTCGCTGGTCACCTTGTTTCCTATTCAGGGATTGGCTGGTTTCTCTGTGCTGCTGGGTGGAGTCAGGATGGCTCCAACGGCGACGGGTGACATCTGACAGTCGGGGCTGTCGATCTGACGTTCCTGAGCTTTTCTCTGCAGGACGGGGAAGAAATTCAGTGTTAGACACGAGGACAAAGTCGTCTTCATTAATGATAGTTTGTCAACAATTATAACAGGAGGAGTTACAGTTCAATTTAAATCTTCAACAATGAGTCAATCATCAGAAACAATCCCAAAACAGCCGCCATTTTCAGCCTCAAACATTAAGAAACTCAAACCCAGGCCTAGCTGTGTCTAAAAACAACTCTGGTTGCATTTTTGTCTTGACTCCAGGACGTGAAATCTGTTTCTGAGCGTTGCTCACCAGCATGTCCAGATACGCCACGTGTGTCTGGATGTTGTGTCTGTCGTCGGCTTTGACTTTGGGGAAGTTCTTGAGCTGCGGCGTGGCTTCAGACTTCAGCGTGTCCATGAAGGGTCTCATCCACTGGACACAGGGGGCCACACTCTCCCACGTCAGACCTGACACACACACACACACACACACAGGTTAGGATGCTGCGGGGGAGTCAAGTCTAAGAAAACAACATGTGATGTTTCTGATAAAAAGGTTGTAACTGATTTAAATGTGCTGCTTGTATAAAATTACAAACATCCAACAACCTGCCTTTGTCATTTTATCTAAGTAAAAGAAAAACATGGTGCAGGTATGAAAACCAAACCTACCTGAGACTTTATGAACGACGTCGAAGGTGAAGAAGTGGCAGAAGGCGGCTGCAGCGAGAACACTGTAGCTGTAGTCCAATGAGTTGATGTCCATCATGCACAGATCCAACAGCTGCAACAAACAGGAAGAGGTCAGTGTGTGCGGACATTAAAAACTGATTGATTTTATTGTCTGTTCAGTGTCTCCGGTTAAATTTTAAATGAAGTTTTTAGGCGTTTGTGTGAAGTAACTGAGACGAGGAGCCCGTCAGCAGGCGTGACGTACCTGTGTGATCTGGATGTACGTTTCCTGTGAGAACTGAGGAACCAGGAAGTTCTCGTTGTCTTTCTGGGCTTCGACCTGAGCGTACAGCTTCAACCAGGAGATGGGCGTCTCAGGACAGAGGTTCCAGTCTAATGCCTGCATGACGACACCAACAACGGGGTTAAACACACAGCGCCACATCTACGACTTGTCAATCTCTCCGGAAACTAAACACTGTTCGACCTTGTTGACTGATTTTTGTGGGGCAGGTGTTTGTGTTGTACCTTCAGTACGTGAAGCTCAGTGCGCTGGATGTCCCACATGTCGCAGGCTCCGTCTGTGACGTATGCGAACTCGTAGATTTTAGGAGGGTAGATTTCCTGCAGGGAGGAGGGAGAGAAGTCGTGGTTATGAACGAGTTTCTTTTCACTCCTTTCAACTTTATATTTTCATGAACAGAATCAAACAGACACAGATTTCCATCAGTGAGGAACTCACCTCGATCTTGGAGGCGATGAAGAGCGCCGTGATGCCGATGAGCTGCAGGTAGTCTTTGTTGACGTTCTGCTGAGTCAGCATGAAGCGGTCGAAGTAGTCCTGAGCGAGGTAGGCCGTCTGCCGGTGGAGGCTGTACACCTCACTCACCTGTACACACAGAAAGAGACACGATCCAGTTTAAACCAACTCTTTATTCAACATGGAGGACATCAGGACATTTAAAGATCTGTAACCACTCACCTCCAGCAGCCAGTCCAACAGAATCGCCCTCATCTTTGGCTGCAGCTTAGGATGCCGCTGCAGGTAGCTCTTGTCATGAACGTACTTCAGCTCCTTGTTGAGCATCTTGATCCACACGTCATCTGAACTGGCCCAGCTGGAGGAGAAAGACCAGGTTTTACCATCTGAACTCACACACGCAGAAGTTCCATTCAAAAAGTTTTAAAGTTTTTACTTCAAGCACGTGTGACGCCTCTAAACTAAATCATTAAAGTATTTTATTCTTCTAGAGTTTGTATTATAACTGCACACATCCAGTGCAACACAGTGTAAAGTGAAATATAAATATCTTTATACCTCAACGTCTCTTCACAGGATTGTATTTTTAAATATCCGTCCAGAATTTATCTTGTTTATTCTTCAGGTATTGAAACTGTAGAATATTCATAATAACCTGTAGTTTTAGGACATTATCTGTGTATTATCTTGTTTTATTCTTCCACTTCTCATCATTTTTCACCTTACTGAAGTTTTCTTTTGTGGCTGTATGAACTCATTAGCTTTAACTATTCAACTTCCCCTCTGAGATTAATAAAGTATCTATGTTTGGAGATAAAACCCTGAAACTGACTCACTTCACAAACCCTAAAAACCAAAAGCTGATTCATGGTGAACGACGGCATTAAACACTGAATACAGAGTCGGGTGGAGTAACAGCTCAGCAACAAAAGGCAGAGAGTCTCAGCAGGAAGTGTCGAGACACACAGCCGCCTCACTGAGGTGTAAAACACACAGTTACCTGAGGCTGGGGATGGGGGAGGCCTTGATGAAGAGGTTTTTGAAGCTGTACTTTTTGAAGACGCTGGACGGGTCTGTGGGCTCCATCTCTTTGTGGGGAGTTTCGATGAGGATGCACGGAGTGGCGCCATCCTCCGACCAACACTTCTGGAAAACACAGAAAAGATGAATAAACACACGTGGTATCAGTCATGGAGTGTCATGATTACTGCATTACTCTAGAGCTGAAATAATGAGGTGACTGTCAAAATTAATCCTCATTTTCTGTTTCTAGTTTAAAAAAAAAAAAAAAAAAAAAGTTAATATTTGCCACCTTCCATCGGTTTTTAAATCACAGGCTGATAATTTTGGGGTTTGTGGACGATCAGCTCGACCGAAAATGTTACTGAAACTTGAATTCTGGGAAACTAATGTGCATTTTTCAGTTTTCTAACTTTAGTCTTAAGTATTGGAAAAGATGGAGATGGATTACACAATCATAAAAAAGAGAATTAATGTTGAATTGATTTAAGGTCTACATATGAATTTTACATAAGATCATTGTGGATGAAATTTAAGAGATAAATACTGTTTACGGCCTTTTTCAGGAAACTTAAACTCTTCAATTATTGAAGTCCCCAGATACTGTAGGAGAAGCTCAGCTGCCACTCAATGGTGCCACCTTGGGGTGAAAATTAGGTACTGCATGGCTGCAGATATAACCCTGCTAAAGCTGAATCACTTTACCCTTCTCCTTCAGCCTGAGCTCTGAACATGAAGATATTCAACTATAGTAACTAGTTAAAAGGTATATGATTCAATATATAAAAAAAGACATGGGAGACAAAACAGGGCTAAAACAAATAAAATACAAACGAAAACCACACACTGTATATACACTGGGGTGACAAAATGGACGCCATCAATATAGGAAACTTATGTATAGCAACATAACTCCTGAGCACTAGGTTGTACTTCAAATTATATACACTACAACCTTATGGAAATACAATATGCTGATAAAACAGAGGTTCAAGACAAAAAAAAAAAAAAAAGAGGGTTGGTCGCACTTAAAGGGAGGTGGAACAAAACAGATAATAAAGTAGTAACAACACACATCTTGGGCTCGGCTCTTATCAGTTATAAACACACACACTCATTAATAACATGTGGGCACTGACCTGTATTTCATAGCTTTGTTTCTTGGCAGCAGGTTGTAGTTTCTTCTTGGAGGGCTGGAGAAGGAATAATAAATAAATAAAAAAAAACAAACAAACAAAAAAACTGGTGAATCAGTGTTTGAGATAAAAACTACAACCGGACAATAAACCTGAGACTAAACGTTCACAATACATGGTACAGAGGGCTTCATGGGAAGTTAGTAAAACACTGACATTATTAGGAATGGAGAAGAAGACCTGCAACGGTACAAACATATGGAGGAGAATATTAAAACAAGACAAACCTCAGATTTTCTTTTCTTCAGTGGGGCTCTGACGGTCGGCTCAGGTGTGTTTGAATCTCTGGCTTGAAGTGTGATGCGACCACTGTAATAATATGAATAAAAATGACATCAACGTCAACATCACAGCTCTAGGTACAGACAGTCCTTTACAGTTGCACTAGTTAATTTTCTCAATGCCCCCAAACTTTGTGTTACTCCAAGTAACTCATAATTAGTGTTATACTACAAGTGACACAAGGCTTTTTACATGACTGAAATTAAATGCAAGTGAATAGTCTTGGGCTGCATTTTCATTGCTTTGTCTGTTCGACATTTGCAATGATATAAAACTGAGAAAAAGTTAAAAAGAAAATCGGAAACAATTTGTCGATCGACAGGAAAATAATCAACAACTATTCTGATAATCGATTTAGTCTTTTTAAAAACTAAAAAATAGTGAAAAATGTGACTTAAAGCTCTGGTTTCAGCTTCTCATATGAGAAGTGTTGCTGCTTTTCTCTGTCAAATGTGATTGCAAACTGAATATATTTGGGTTTCAGACTTTTGGACAATTAAAACATGTAATCAACATTATTGTAGTCTGTGTTGTACACATATTGTACTGTTATATGTATCATGTGAGACCAGTGTATTGCTCTCAACATACATTTGACATTTTAAATATGAGAAAATATGCTTTATAGTACTATGTTAAGCCTGATCACCGAGGCCTAGCAAAGTCTTTACAGTGAGGGGCTCCCAGACCTCAGTCTGGGAACAAACAGCAGCAGCTGCTCACCTGCGTCTGGACATGGTGTCGACTGTATTTATGGCTCCGCTGCAGAGAAAAAGAAGGAACAGGTGAGATTTAGGCGCAACTTTATTATTTATTTTGTATAAATACAAAAACATATGGAATTAGGAATTAATTCAGTTATCCTGGATCCATTTTATGATCAGAGAGTCCTGAGGCCATGTTCTGGGCCCAAGAATCACACACAACATGTTAGAGCACACTGTATGTGCTAGCCCTATAAGCTGAGTAAAATAACTAAAATAATATTATAAAAGAGTTAAACTGGCTCCTTGAAAGTTCTGGAGGAGCCACAGAAAGTCCTTGAAACCACAGGGCCCCAGAATATAACAGAAAAATCACATTTACAAGCTGAGTTTGACCCTGGTTAGGAGCTGTGGTTAGCTTGTAATATCAGATCTAGTATGTTAGCTTGTGACCACCAATAAAAGGAGCCAAAGTAGCTCCACAGACACAATAATGGTCGGCTAACACAGCTGAAGCACCGCATGTAAAGACCACTGTGACCACAACTTCATACTAACCGGGTAAAGTCAGATATAACTGTGATAAGAGCTAAACCGGGCAGCCAGGTCCTGTAAGCTAGTGTGGTAGCTGCAGCCAAAAAGGAGGGGGGCTGTTCGTTCCCTCGCTTTCAAACAAAAAAAAGCTCGAAAATGCTTCATTTCCACCCGAGTTTCTCATCTTCAGCGACGAAGCACACGTTTCCAGACATCTTCAGTCCAGTTTGAGTTATGAAAACGCACGAATATGGACTTTAATCGAGTTCTGAAACTCAAAGACGCGCCAATTTCCTCGGAGCAAAAGCGGGAGGATTTGAGTCCTGCCTTCCAGAACCTCCTCCTGGTCGGCGGGGGGAAACTGATAGAAATGACCGCTAAAAATGAACCAAACTTATTCTAACCACGCTCGATTAGTAGAATAAACACCTGGGGATCACATATCCAAGAACGATCGTGTTTAAAGTCCATTAGGCGACATTAAAGTGGGGTAAACCGACTCCACCGCGAGGCTAAGTTCTGGAGGGGAGCTACTGTAATTAGCAAACTTAGCCCGGTAACTGCTAACTAGGTCAACAATAACTATCAAACCCCCGATGTGCAGATCAACTGATGAGCTGCTGGTTTTACATGCCAACGGCTGAATATCTGCTTGATTAAGGAATACGGGCAAAAGACAAGTTACATAACGCTTTTCTGACGATTTTAACGTTACAAGAGCAGCCTCAGTGTTTGAACAGAAACTCAATTAAAACTAATAATTTTCACTCAACACACCTCCAGGATAACATGCAAGATTCACGCGAGGTGAAGATTGCAATAGCAGCGAAAACCCCTTCAGAAAAGTCAAAATACAAGTTAAAAACTAAGATGAGGCTGCAGTCTCTTGCTGGTCGAGATTTAAATCAATTTAACACCAAACTACGTCGAGAAAAATGGAGATTAAAAGACTAAAAGATTAAAAGGCTGGAATACGAAGCCCGGGAAGGTTTAAAGAGTAGAAATATGTCATATAACTACAGATATGATGAGTGTCGATGTGCTCTCCGGCTCTGTGGTCTTACCTCCTGAGTGAAGAATGAATGAATGCATCAGCTGTGGCGCCGGCGCCAATCCTTATATCCGTGTATGCCTGCCGCTGCCACTGCGCATGCCCGTTCCCGGTTCACAGAAACGCGCTAAATGTTTTAAATTTGAAGTGAGATTTTCACTAACGAGCAAAACAGAAATGTTCCGACGGCGTCGGTTTACTCTCGTTCTCGATAAAACGGTTAAATAGCAACGTTAGACAGCTGATAAAGTGGTTATTTGTCGCGTTTAACCGGAGCCTTCGTTCATTTCTAACGGACACCGAGTCGCGGGGAGGTTTTTTGAAGTAAACGCCGGTTTCCGTACGTTCCGGTTAAACTTTAACGGCTCGGTAGACGGTCTGAACTCATCTAAGTGAGGAAACTTGGCGTAATTTCTCTACTTGACGGAGTTATTCCCTATTTTTTTCGCGGTACTGGAACAGCTTCCGCGTGCGAGCCCCGCCTTTGGGATGGGTCCGGGTGACATCGAGCCAATGAGAGAGCGAGCAGCGACAGCCGCGTGCTTCCACCGTAGAATGTAAACAGAAGCAGCACGTGGGTCCGCTGTCAAAGTCAACTGCTGCTGAATGCCAGTGTTTACTTCTGTTTTTAACACGTTTTTAACTGATATTTGGGATATTTAATAAGATTGTTCAACAATAAAACATTTACAGGTTGTATTTATTTTACATAGACGTTGATACATCCATATACTGCATTTAAAACACTTTTAGTTTGTATATAAAGTAACTTATTACATTACAGTAAATAATGTTTCTTTATACCTGCCCAGGGACTTTAGAAGGAAATTATCTTTTCTCTTTGTATGGCAGTAATGTTTTGTTTTTTTACAAATAGATGTAATAAACCAAAGAGTATTTCTATTTATAATATTTATTCCAGCACTCTTGCACTATCACTATTTAATAAAAACAATAGACTTAATTTATACAGCACTTTTCAAAACAAACTGTTTTATATGGTTTCAACAGGATTACAACTAGAAATTAGGCTGTAAAATTGGACATTTAAAATACTCCAAATATAAGATAACACAATAAAAAATAACAATGGCAAAATAAAAAGAATATGTGCTACCAATTAAAGAGAGGCCTTTTTTAAAGATAAGTTTTAAGTATTGACTTAAAAGATGTTTCTGATTCTGTAGGTCTCGGGTCTTCAGATGGGGAGATCAGAAGTGAGGTCTCCTTTAGTCTTGAGCCAGGTACAAGCCAGCTACAAAGTTTGTTTGATCAATTCATACAATCAAAAACATTGCTGTAGATGAGACCAACCACTACCCTAAATGCATCAGTAATAATAATCCGACAATGTATAGCATGTAACAACTCTGAAAACAGCTATTAGCCTTAATTGGTGTTCTTACTTACTTTCTTTACTTTCTCCTGATAAAGATACTACACACTGCAGAAGTTGTAACTCTTTACTTTTTCCTAAAATTGTTGGAAAAAAAACCTGCAACCTCAGTGTTTAATTTTACATGACATAATATTTTCTGACTCCACTGCATTGTTTTAACGGAAATAAATCCTTTATTTTCTAGTGTTGCCCTTGGCATTATGAATGTCATGAGAAGTAGCTCTAGTTTCTCTGACAGTACTACTTTCAGAGGTGAAGTATTAAGACACAAACTATACCGCAGAGTAAAATTACAATTAAAAAGTAAAAGTCCTACTAAAAATTTACTGTCAGAGTAAATATGTTAAACTGCGGAAATGTTGGGTGGTTTAATTTACCATGTAACAATGCACACCAGGTCATTATTGGTTTTTAAACTCTTGATCTGAAATGTAACTGGTAATTTTAATGTCAGATGAATGTAGTGGAGTCAAAAGTAGAATATTTTTTTCTTTAAAGTAGTAGAAATATAAAGTAGCATTAACTTAAGTAGTGCAAAGTAAGTAGTCAATAATAAGCATCCGTATATGCATTAATGTGAATGTGTAAACTACAGACAAAAGGAAATAAAGGTGCACTAATGCTCCTGATTAGTTTCTGTTTAAACTGAATTAGATTAAGGTTTTTATTCTTTGACTGAAGAGCCTTAAACTGGAGCTAAAACTGTCAGAAAGTGAAATGAACTCATCATTAACTTGACAAAGACAGAGACAGGAGAGCTGTGTATGAAAACATTTATTATAAGCTAATGAGAGATCACATGTATTAACTATTACAGTTCAAAAACAGATGACCCCACTTTTTAATTAGCAATATTTTTTGTTTCTGACATCAGAACAGAGAGAGTTGATCATTCATTCATCCAAAATACAAAGAAGGAGACCAGTTATGTCGATAAATAAAAAGTTAACCCTATAATTCCTACACCTTTTTTTTCTTTTTGGCAAAGTGCTGTATTATTCCAGTAAACTACACAAATAAAAGCAAAAAAAAAAAAAAGTCTAACACTTGGTGAAAAATAAAAATGCCACAAAATATTCTTCACACTTTTGTAAAATAAACAACAGGAGAAAAGAGGTTTTGCTACATCATTCCGTCTGGTTTTGTTGAGTCATTATATAAAAGCTGTACACGGGCTGGGCGGGTGGCGGCGGCGGCGAGAGCCAACAAGCTTCCTCCGAGTGGTGCATAGTTGGTTTCTGATGTCTGTTCGTGTGTTTTTATTTATTTATTTTGTCCTCATGGGACATTAAAAAAAGAATTTAAAAAAAAAAGAAAAAGAAAAAAAGAGAGTTCAAGTTCTTCATTGATGCATTGTCATTACAATATTTCAACCTGGAAGGCACGTGATCCACAAATTTCAAGGCATTGAACAAAAAAAAAAAAAAAAAAAAACATTACAAATCCCTGTTAGTTTGATGATGGAGAGATGAGAAGAGAAACTGAAAATAAAGATAAAACATTAAAGGCTCCTGACAGCAGGAGGAGACAGGATCCCTTCCGTCTTTAAGTTTGTCTTTTTTTAAAAACATCGCAGTAACACAAAACAACATCGTCCACGATTGTAAAGCTCGACACAATAGATAGAGAGAGAGAGAGAGAGAGAGAGAGACACTCGAGAAATACAGAGAAGCTTAAATACACCAGAGATTGAACCACTCCACTATCGTTTTGATTATTTACAGCAAACCATATGGACGCCTAACAAACCTTTGTTAGTGCTTTCTCATTAATGCTACCGTCCCGTCAACACGACCACAGACACAAACTGAAGTCAGGTTTTTACTGGAGATTCAGACGCCACACTGCAAACGGCCTCCACCACACGAGACTGAGTCTTTACTGAGCCCTAAAAATCACACAACACAGATACGTTTTGTGTCTTCAACAGGATGTGTTCCCCAAACTTCACCTTTAAAAATGACTTAATTTAATCTTATTGATTTCTCTGGATGTGTTTCGGTCAACAAAACTGAGAGGTTGGATCTTTGATCAAGAATCTTCTTGAACAAAATGTGAAGTTTGAGTTTGATCACCTGTTTCAAGATCATTCAAGAACACGCACAAAAAATAAAAATAAAATAAAATTCATCCTACATCTTTCAGTTTCAACGTAGGACTCAGTGGTGAAGCTCATTTCTACCAGGAAAAGAAATAAAAGATGATGAAAAGTCAGGAATGAGTAAATCACAATGTTGAGATACCATGTATAAAATTTGAGATAATAAAGGCAAATACTGACTTTAAGAGACAAAATTTTAGATTAATATACAGTGGGATAATATCTTATATTTCTTTGTGACAACAAGTCACAATTTATAAGGTGAAACTTCATATGTATGTACACAGGTATATACATACAGATAGAGTCTAATGTTTGACCCTTTATGTCACAGTCATGAAAAGTTATAATTCAGACTTAAATTTTGTCTCTGTATCTCATTATTTTTGACTCCCCATGCGCATCTTTTTAAATTTATTTTTTCATTCCTAACATTTAATCTTTTTTCTCTTCTTGACATAAATGGGCTTCCGTACTTCAGATCCAGTCCCTCTCTCCTCCTGCAGTGTGGTGACTCGGCCCGGGCTCCACTTTCCCTACAGCGGACACATCAAACCGTGTCCGCCGTGTCAGAGCGCCGAGACCCCGAGCTGTTTACAACTCAAGTTAAACAACAACAACAAAAAAAACAAAACAAAAGAACATCAGTATTATAAACTAGTGAAAGGTTAAAGGTCACTGCTAATTTTTTGGTTTAAATATTTGAACAGTTTAACAAAATGTAACTAAGTTAACATGGGAAATAGAAGAGTTAAAAAGCATAAAGTACATTTCTAAAACCATGTTAGGTACATTTGAGCAAAAAAATTTTTTTTTATATATATATATAAACAACGCAGAAGAAGACCAACAGGTTTCTCTCCATCATGATGGATTTCCAACAGTCGACTGAGTTCGTTTTCACAGTCCTGGGACCAGGATCATTTTTCTAAAAGTCAATAATTTCTCACAAACATCTTCACGAGGGAAATCTCGCGAGGACAGAGCTGGAAAAGTCTGAGAGCACGCACAAAGAATCATCAGCCGTCAAGTAAATCTGCATCTTCCTAAAGTGTAAAGGTGATTGGTTGTGACCCTGAGAAGTGGACTGCAGATTCGTTTAAGAACAAACAAAAAACTTAAAACTACAAAAAAAAAAAAAAGAAAAATAATCTTTTTCCATTTTCTTTTTTTTTTTTTTTCCCAACCATCGTGACACTAACACAACTCTACAACCATGCAACAGATTGCACACTAACATAACCAAACATACCTAAGCAAGAAACCATAGACGCATATATACCAACTTCATACTGATATGTAATTTGTTTTTTTCTTTTCAAAAAATATTTTGGAAGTTTTTTTTTTTTTAAATACATTTTGTTTTTTTACATTTCTATTCATCTCAAAGCTACCGTTAAAACAAGGCGTTTAGTGATATTTAACCCAGTAATTTTTACCGTCTTTTTTATTTTTTTTTTTCCTTTTTCAAAAAAGTATTGTGAAAAGTACTGAATTACAGAGTCAGAGGCAGGTTCAGGCGGCGCCGCAGGACGACCAGCGTGGAAACATCGCGTTTAAACAACAGGGAGACGCCGCACGACTTACAACAGGCGAGTTCAAGGCAGGAAATTAAAGGAAAAATCCCCCAAAAATGCTCTAAAACTACAGAAAACAGTAAGAGGTGAGGCGTTTTGCATTTGCACTTATAACTGAGGTGTGTTGTATTTAATTCTATAGACTCTATAGATGGAGGGAAGGCTCCTCTCTAGGACTGCAGTGAATAATCACAAAGGAAGAAACGCACAACTGCTAAAAATCAAACGTCTGTACCTGCAGCAGAAAAAGTGACTACGAGGCGAAGCAGCTGCAGGAAATGACTCTGATTTTGTTGACTCATAAAACTCTCTGTTCTGTCTCTCAGTTTTCAGTTACTACATCCTCCGGTTTCCCAGAAGAACCTGTGAACGCAGCGTGTTCTCACCCGGGTCGCGTTTTGACTTGAGACACAATGTCGCCAAAAAAAATGCTGGATTTACAGCAAAACATGAAATAATTTCAGTGTTTAATGTCAAAGAAATTCTTCAAAACAAGGATTCATAGTATGTTTAAAGGGGTAGTGTTATTTAGTATTGCACTTCTTCACAGGCTCAAACTCTTGTATTTTACAAATGTAAAATATCATATATTTTACGGGGACATTTCTTTTTTGGAATCAAGTTTCTGGACTACAAAGACTTTTTTTTGGTTTGCACTTTAGAGAGACAGATTTAATTCCAGACACACTGGATCCTACATTTCCCATGATGCAACAAGTGTCTTTCATGAGACCCTCCTTGCCTGACAAGCATCCTGATCCGTCACTTCCACACAGATTTTCTGTTATGATATAATCTCCGAGCTGAGATAACCCTGATGACACAATATGACGCCATTTTATTATTTTCTCAGACGTGGACTTGTTTAATCTGCGGACTGTCCCTTTAATGGACCAAACTGTGTCTGTGTTTGCAGCTGTTTAGTTTATTTGTGTTACTGCTGAAATAGACGACGACAGCGTCAGATTATTTTGGGGGATTTTTCCTTTAAACTTTTGTTTTCAGCTGCAGCGACTCGTTGAGTTCACGCTGCTGATGTCACAGCTTGTTTGAAATCAACAGCGCTCAGGTCGCCAGTTACAGAAACCCGACAATAACTGGCAACTTCTCTCAGAAGCCTCAGCATGACGCTCCTCCTCTGATTAAACTGCAGCTGATCTGTTCGTGTTCAAGTGATTCGGGGTCTGAAATGTTTCCTGTTTCCCCCGACAAGTTGCCCAGGAAGTCGCCGGACGAAGCGTCGCTCTGCGATGACCTCACCTGACCGTCCCGCCGCCTCGCTGCGAACCTGCCGCCGAGTAAAGTGACCTACAGCATTGATTCTACACACGACGTTGTCCGTAAAGAACGAGAGTAAGAAGAAGAGAAAAAAAAAAGAAAGAGAGGAGGAGGAGGACGTCACCGTGGCGACTCGTCCTCTCTGTGATTGGACACAAATTGGTCCATCGGGAGAGAGGATAAAATGTGGACAACAGGAAGAGGAGGAGGGGGGGCATGATGACCATCTCCTTTCACATCCCTTCTTCTCAGCATCAACGTGAAGGAGAATGGATGGATGAAGAGGAGGAGGAGGAGGAGGAGACATGAGCTGATAAAATGACAGAGATCACCTGTTATTTTCCCTATTTCACCGTCCAATCAGAGAACAGATAATCAGAACAGCTCAGGTGGAGGTGGAGGCTGATGACAGAGGTTTTGTTGCTGGTGTTGATTTCTTGATACGAGAAGAAAACAGCGGCGTGTGACTGAGGGTGGCGAGGGTTCGATTCCCACACTGCTTAAAGGAACGAGGTTGATGATGATGATGATGATGATGATGATGATGATGATGATGATGATGACGATGACGATGGTTGCCGTGGCCTCAGAAGTTCAGGTGCCTCTGGCTGGGCTGGTGCAGGTGCCTGGTGCCGGCCTTGGGGGGGAGCAGCAGGTTGAGGCGTCGCAGGGCGTTGCGGGACAGCGGTTGGGTGCGTTGGGCGGTGTTTCCCGAGCGCTGCTGCAGGAGGCCGGCGCGGGTGGAGAGCGCTGCGGCGTAGCAGGCAGAGTGGAGGGTGGAGCGGCGCTGTACGACCGCCACCTCTGGCCTGCGGGGGGGGGGGGCAAACAGAGAGGTTAGCGGACTGACAGGAAATGAACAACAAGTGTTTAAACCTGAATCGCCGCTCTGAGGACTTTACCTGTGACGGGGGCCGTCCAGCGTGCGTCTCGCCTTCTCCTTCCCACCTGAGGCTGTCGGGGGGGCGGGCATGTTGGCGGACAAGAAGTCCCGGTCAAGTGAGCGTTGCAGGGGGTCGAGGGTCAGTCGGGGGGGGCTGTGGTGGGCGTACACGGACATGCTGGGGTGCTCGATCAGCAGGTTCTCCAGGGGGCTGGTCTCCAGGAGGACGGGCTGGCTGCCGCGGCCGGTGAAGCAGGGCGGGGGGGTGACGAACCAGCTCTCCTCCAGGGAGCAGGCGTCCAGGCGCAGGAACCCGCTCTCCTCCTCCTCCTCCTCCTCATCCTCATCATCATCCTCGTCCTCCTCAGCGACGCCGTCCGGGTCGGTGTCGGCCGTGGAGTTGAGGGAAGTGCAGGAGGCGTAGCGGATGGGGGAGCTGGCCACCGGAGAGGGGATCATCACCAGGTCTTCTTCCTCCTCCTCCTCCTCCTCCTCCTCCTCCTGGTGAGCAGCAGTGGTTCCAGAGAGGCCGTCACCACACTGACTGGAGCAGGCTTCAGCTGCAGAGACACACCAGCTTTAATATGAAGCGTCAGATCATTACAAATACAAATAACTGATCTAATCTAAGTCAAATTACTAATTAATTACTGACTTCAGAGCTTTTTTCACGCCTACGACAGTGAGTCAGAAAATAGATTTTGGGTGCCGCGTCTCTGCAGAGGTGTCGACATGAATATCACACCCTTACAGAGGAGGTCAGTCATCTCAAGTTCTTCTGAATAATCTTAGATACGAACAAAGTTTGATTGATTGATTGAACTGAAATCAAATTAACTCCAGGCATTGATGACTTTACAACAGAAGGTTCAGCGCTGTTAAAAGCAGACCGGAGCTGAACTCGTCCATCAGTAATCTATTGTTAATTGTCTTTGTTTGACTGTAGCTTGTTGTGCTGTTGTCTCATCAGTGTATCTTTAACACATTGTAGGACATTGTGTTTTTGCTGTTGACTGTTTTAATGACATCACACATGTAAAAGAGAATTAGCAACAGCTCTGAACTCCCTGTGCAACACGTTCGTTTCACGCCTGGTTTTGAAACGATGTTAAATTGCATCTTCCCTGTTTGACAAATAAATCATCTAGTTGAGTAACACAGTGTGACGCGTGCATCTCGCCAGCAGGGGGAGCTGTTGCCCGTGTCTGTGCAGCACTCACATGTAAACAATCATGTTCTTGATGCAGAGCAGCCACAGAGCTGCAGCAGCTCAGCATCACATGTCCGACTGAAACCGCAGCCTGCACACATGTTTCTGTTTGTGTGTGTGTGTGTGTGCAAAACACGCCCAACCAGAGCGGCCTAATCTGCTCACCGCCGCCTGAGCCTTCCCTCCGCTCTGTTGCAGAAACAGCCGCTGCTCATTATTCTCTAACACATCAATCATCACCGTGACAACGTGCCAGCATCCTGCACCAACTGCTGCACATCCAACACGCTGCTGTTTGCAAAAAAAATACAAACAAACCAGGAGGCCGGAGCGAGAGAGCTGCGTGTCTGGGCTCTTGTTTTGATCCGACACCAGCTTCTAATGATTCACAGAGACGCAGGAAGTTAAAGGAGGAAAAGCAACATGATCTCAGGCTGGCGGACTGGAGGCTAAAAATAAACGGCGTGTCCACTGAACAGACGTCTCTGTTTGATTTCAGTTCTGTTTAAGGAGCAGCTATTTTCTCCATCCTGTAAATGATAACTCACTTTTATTGGTCGGACCCTGCACTCTTTCATCCAAGCAGACAGCTGGAGGAGTGAAGTAACAAGGTTAGCATCATTAAGTTATCTCCCCTGACCCGCGTGCCCTCACTGTTTACTGTACGCATGCAGCTCTGTATGTTGAGACCGTTTGGAGTTCACTTCCACACGTGAGACGTGACTCTAACTCCCAGGAGTTCACAGAGGAATCCTTGTTTACCCACAACAGGCCCGAGAAGCTGCAGAGCGCTGACTCAGCGCCCAGCAGCTGATCTGCTCACTTTATCCTCTCAGCTGGAGGACGGCCCTCGCTGTCCGAGGCCGTCAGCAGCTGATCTCTTCCTGCGGGAGTCTGCAGAGCGAGAGGAGGTTCAGGTTCACGATGTGTCAGCCTGAACAACACAATCTCTGTACCACAGGAGTGAAGCGGTGTTGTTAGTGAGGAGCGGCAGTGCTTTGGAGACTCTCTGGCAGGGCGTGTGTCGGGTTAATGAGGCCAGTGTGGATTATGATTGAACCACCCGACCTCTGTCTCCTCTACGAACCACAGAGTCTGCAGAGTTTCAGTCCCACAAACAGCTGATTTCTTCCTTCTGCTGCTCGCCTAGTTTCACCAAAACCCGCCACACACAAGCTGCAACATGAGATAATATCTTCCTGCTTAACAAATGCCACACTTTCACTACACAACATACCCCAGAATCAGGTGTAGCTGCACAGATATTTCAAACTATGACTCCATATATGATGAAATCTGGGCGGGACATGCTCCGATCACGGCGTTGTAACATGTCACATCAAAACATCTCCAGATCCTAAAAAGATATCTCCGGGTTCTTGGTGTTTTGTGGCCCGTGCATGAGCAAAAACAACCTCGCAAAGCGTTAGTCATTGCAGCAATTTTCTATCTGAATGTAAAAATACTGCACATCACTTTGTGGCTCTGAGGCCCCGGAGCAGGAACATGCATCCAGCTCTGTTTACACTACACCGGGCGTCCACATACGAGGGCACGTCGACATGTGTACAGCTGGTGTGTTGTGGCTGCACATGGATGTGTGTGCAGACGTGGAAAGTATCATCTGATCTTTGGGGTTTGATTTCAAAAGCTTTAATCCTCCTGTTGACATGATTCCTCAGTGCCACAAAAGACTGCGTTTATTCAATACCTCACTTTAGAGATGTGGGTTTTTTTTCTTCTTCTAACAAAGACACCAACAACAAAGTTCTCAAATGTCAAGTTCTTTCTACACAAACACAAAAAACATGTCCAATATAAAACAGAATGAAATCCAGGAACGATCTGGTCAAAGAACAACTAAACAAGAGTGTGAATCTGAGTGGATGCAGCGGTCGACACGGAAACTATATTAAAGTTCGAGCATCAAGGGCAAACGCTCACGACCGGTAGCTCGCAGATTTTAAACATTTAACTTCTTCTTCTCAACATGAACCTGAGAAGTGAAATATCTTTGGTTTTTGGACTGAAGACGATTAAACTTAATATTAATTAAAATTAAAATATGAATTAAAATAGCACAGTAATAAGTTATGATCTGTGCAGATGGACAGCGGTGGCTTCATGTATATTATGTGCATGATGTTTTGTGCAGCGTTTGCTCAATGTGATATGTGTGTGTGTGACTACACTATAACATATTATCATTAACTTCAGTTAATGCTCTTTTCAAACCACAGCAGGTGGCGATATTTATTTTTGGTTAAGTCTGGTTCTGCTGTTTATAAGTGTGTTAACCTTTGTGGTGTAAAACTGGGACGTACATGTTTATAAGTTTGTAGCAGTAGCTTTTTTTAATGCTAAGACCACTGCACATATGTGGTTTTATTTTGAAAAGGTGTTTTATTTTGGTAGATTAGACAGTTGAAGCAATGAATTCTCTTTTATATTTAAACCTTCAGATTTGAAACAAGAATATTTATTTTCCTGGGAGGAAATGCAGCCGGAGCTTTTCCCAGTCAGAACTTAACGAGACTTGACGACGGGTTTCTAAGTTTACAGTCCACCTGGGAGAAACCCAACACGGGATCCAGGTGTGTTTAGCTGCAGGGATGTTGGCGGCAGCTCCGTGCCCATACAAGTCCATCTCCACGGGGCCCAGAACGGGAACCACCGGCGTCTATTTTTACCTTCTCTGGTTCCTCGGGCGCTTTTGTTTGACCTGTTTACAGGTTGACCCCCCCCTCCATCCCAGCCTGAAGTGGGCCAGTCGGCCTCTGTTCCCCCCCCCTCCCTCCCCCGCCTGAAATATTCACACAGCTGTGGAATCCGACACGGGTCGAGTCGAGTCGAGTCAAGCCCGGCGGCGGGTGAGCGGCGGGCCGCTCTGTGTGGAGGTGACTGCAGTGTGTGTTACTGAACCTCTCTGGGTGTCGTGTCTGTTTTGACTGGGGGGGGGGTTGTTGGGTCTCGGACAGCTCTGGAAACTTGGCTCCTCTTTGACCTGCCATTAAAACAGTCTAAACTTAAACAGTTTCTTTTCCAAACGGCTCCACGGAGCTTTATTTTCTGTCCGCGTATAAAAATCAACTGTTTGAAATAAATTATCTTAACTGAAGATCTGCTCACGAGCTTTTCCACTAGTCACACCTTTTTTTTTTTATCAGTGAGTGAATTTTTCTCTTCTCTTTCTTGAACAGATCAAATTTGAAAACGGCTTTTAGAAACACATTCACATGGTTTCACATGCTTCATTTTCTACTGGTTTTATTTTACTTTGAAATCGTTTCTTTGATTTTTTACCATAATCACTCAAAGATCAGACGGATATTTTTGTGGGTTGGTTTCTTGCTCAAAGGCACTTTTGTGATCCTGATGCAAACAGCTGGATCTTAACTGCCAAAGTGCGTATTTACTTTTCACGTTCTCGTTATGTCACCACTGTGTTCACTTACAGTATGTGACGTTTTATCTGCGTCACGTTCAAAACATGCTTCTTTTTTTTACCAGTGAACACACAGTCGGCCAGAGACGAGGAGGGATTAATTATCTGGTGTGCAGCGGAAACAATTAGATCAATAAACAGTAAATTAACCAGCAACTGTTTTGTTAATTGATTAATTGATCACTCCAGGAAATGCTGTGAAATACTGACACTGTTTCCACTCACAGAAACATCTGGTCCTCAAGACAAACGAGTAAACAAGGAAGAAACAGGAAGAAAGGTGGTGGTGCGTTAAGAGCAGGTTTTACTGGTTTTAGAGCGCCACATGAACCCGTGTTTATGTTCTCTTCGCCATGTTCTCCTGACACTTACCCAGGTAGTTGACCAAGATCCAGTCTTCGTCATCCTCCTCCTCCTGCTTGCCGTCTCCAGGTCGGCTGCATCGGCTCAGCTCCTCCACGTCGTCCCCGAACAGGGCGCTGGCGAACCTCTGAAACATCCCGGGGCGTCCTGCGGGGGTGTGAGGCTGAGGGAGGGGCTGGGGGAGGAGGCACGTGGCACGGGGCGACGGCGGGGAAGCACTTTGGTCATCAGCTGCGGGGTTCGCGGCGGGAGGAAGACTCCGCAAAGGTGATAAAGTGCATCAAGGTGTGGTCATGGATCATCTGAGGGTCAGCAGACACGGGCTGGACATCGCTCGACGTCACGATCAAGTACAAAAGTACAAAAAAAGCCCTGAGGAGACGAGATGGAGAGAAACGAGTCGATTAATACAAACCTGAAGAAACATCACACGATCCAACAGGTGTTTCTACAAGTCTCACATTTATTCATAAACATTCTTGGCCATTTTGTGCCTTTATGATTCGACAGGACAGAGAAGAGTAACAGGAAGTGGGACAGAGAGAAGGGGAGTCGTCTGCCCTCAGCGCTCGGCTATCGGGTCGCCAGACTGAGTCTTAATAAGCAAGTCGAGACACAAGTCTTTCAGGTCTTTAAATGGACGCTGAACATTTTTCTTTTCAGGACTGTAAAAAGTGTCTTTCATATAATTTGATCAAATTCTTTCAATGTATAAGAGACAAAGATAACAGTTTGTATTTGAGCTGAGATGTTTAAGGGTTTAGTGACTCCTGGTTAAAGTTAGAAGTCAGTAGCTGTAATAGTCGGTTTCAGCCACCGGGGGGGTTGTTTGTGTCACCTGATGAATCTCTCCCTCTCTCTCTCTCTTTTAGCTCTGTGTTTGGTCTCCACCAGCTCCGGAGGGAGACATCTGTCTCTTCAGCTGCTAAACGCTCCGCTATGTTCAGCAGCTGCTCTCTGACTGTCTGCTGTTTGCTGCTGAGCAGGAAGAAGACAGAGGCTTTTTTGTTTTGTTTTATTTTACAGCTGTTTCTCTGAAAACATCTGCTGCTGCAGCCAAAACCAGGAGAGAGCCAGGACAGTAAAGCTGTGTTGGGACAGATAAACAATGAGCTGAAACTCACTGTGAAGCAGCTTCATCTGATAATCCTCAGCGGATCCGTCACTACACCTTTCACCTTTAATATAATAAAAATATGGAGTCTAGCTGCCGGGGGAACTCCTGATTTAAGGCGACCTGTAACTAACACAGAGTTATCTGCAGACTTGAATCTGCAGTGTGTGGGGACTTTTTGTTTGAAAATAGAACATGGGTCAGACAGTGAATCTGAAAGCCAAGAATCTGAGCCGCCAGCCAAGTAATTATTAAGTTACCCGCAGCCTGATCAAGGCCACAGATACTGTAAATACTGTGCACGCTCAGCGCTGCAGGACAACTCGACTCTACCTGCTGCTGCTGCTTTGACACCAAGACTTCACTTTAAGAAAAGTCTAAAATGTAAACATCATTGTGAGCAGCAGGATTTAGTTTCTTTCTTGCTAAACCCCAGAAATCATCTGGTAACTACTTATTTTTATCTTGTGAGTGTGTATCGGAAAACTCATTAAACTGCTAATGCTTTTTCTTTACGTTTTTGATTAATCAAATAATTTTTTTATCTTTAAAATGCCAGAAAATAGTGGAAAAAAGTCTCCACCCAAAGATCTTCAGTTTACTAACATGTATGACAAAGAAAAACATCAAATCCTCACATTTACACATAACTACTTGATTGACTTTGCTGCTTTTTTAATATTTCTATTGCATTTTAAACTAATTGTCTCAGTTTTTCATTGTTAGTTGGACAAAAACAAGAGGGGGAAGGTGTCACATTCGGCTCTGGGAACTTCTGATGGACAATTAACTGGCTAATCATAAATCATAAATTAATTAATGGAAAACAACATATTTATAGATGCATTTAATCATCAGTCGCAGACCTCGTTCATAAAACAGTAGCAGTAAATGTTTACAGCTGCTGTTTCACCTGCTGAGGATCATGTCGCTCATTAAAAAGGAGCCTGACACACAAACCGACGTGCCTCAGATAAATGGTGTAACACACACACACACACACACACACACACACACACACACACACACACACACACACACACACACACACACACACACACACACACACCAGTTCTGAGACAAACACATATCTCCAGGCCTGGCTCATGAGCCTGTACGTGGCTGTAAAGTGAATCGCCGCCACAACTGAGGAAGAATTCATTTCCTGTCGTGCCCGATGGAGGCGAGCAGCAGCTGCAGTTTCTTCAGTTATTGATCTGACGGAGGCGAGAGACGGAGATGCTGCCCAGTGCGTTTGTTTTATTCACCAGTAAATAAAGAGACGGGGGCTGGCAGCCTGCCTGCTGCTCTGACTACAGTCTTTCACACTGGGGAAGTATCAATAGACGGAATGAGAAGTGATCAGTGTCACTGTCCTACTGCAGCTGCTGTATAAAGGAGAAGGACAGGAGCGGGGGGGGGGGGGGGGGGGCATCATTTGGCACAATGTTGTTGCATTAAAGATGCCCCCCTCCCCCCTCCACCAGTACAGTTCTAAACAGAGTCCTCTCACTGTGTAGCTGCCAAAAACCAGGAGGAAAGAAGCTCGGAGTTTATAAAAAGGCTGACACTCTTCTTTTAATGGAGCAGTGGATGTTTTGTCGCCTGTTTTCACCCTGTGTTTTGGCTTTCAGGCTGCACACATCCCTCTGATTGGTCTGACCCATAAACAGACAGGCATGAAGCTCTGCAGACAAAACTCAGGGCTAAAAAAACACAACGCCTTCGTGTCTACTCATTTAGTAAAGATGTAAAGACAATGTCATAAAAAGGTGGAAACAGTAGAACAGTAGAGTGTTAACAAAAGTAAAGAAAAGTATAGTAATGTTTTATCGTTAAAAGCCTAATTAGGCATTTTTAACATTATTTAAATCCAAACATATTGATAGATAATACCTAGAAACAGCCTGTTCCAGACCTCTGTGCACAGTCTGACTGATGTAAACAAACCTGTAGCAACATCAGAAAACATTACAAGTTCACTGTCAGCTGTTGTCTAGTGTTAAATTCTTATTAAAGATCGGTCAGTCGGTTTAGGAGTCATGGTAGATTCCAATAGTGTGTTTTTAATCTTGGCAGAGAGACCCTTTGGTTTGAATCACGGACTGTGCCTTTAACATTTAAGCTAGCTGTTAAAATTACTTCGTGTAATCACCACTAGGGGGCGGACACCAATGTTTCTCCTGAATCCAAACCGGTGTGAACGCCTCAAGTTGAAATTCCAACTATCCTAATTTTTCTACCGGCACTTGAACGCGCACTCTATTCGAATCGAATGCAACGACTTCGGCGGTGGTGCCTTTAATGCCTGTCGTTCAGGCTCGTATTTCTCTGTTGTCGTATTCATTACACGTAAAGAAGAAAGAAATAAAAAATAAAAAGCGCTCTTGTTTTGTAGAACAAAAGCCAAACTCCGCCTCTGTAAACATCGAGCAGCTGTGGCGGAGAGACAGACAGAAAACAGAGAGGTTTTATCTGACTGACTGTCAGTCTCGGGCTGATAATCTGCTCCACCTGTTCCTCCTCCGCTAACACCCTCCACCCACGTTACTAAATATACTAAATATTAATCTACTCTCATTATAACAATCACCAAACACGAACTAAAGCTCATCCGGGTCTGTGTCACGGCCGATTAATGTGGTTAAACGGGTCATTGAGTCATGGCTGTGGCTTTCTGCTGAACGAAATTAATGCATCTGTTACAGCATACATCCATCATTAATTCATCCCGGTGTGAAAAATGTTGTAAGAGAGGAAGGCTGCGTTTAAAGTCTTTCAATCTGGTGTAGAAACAGTTAGTAGGCTGCAGGATTAGACTACAGAGAGACAGCAGTGGAGGTCACATAATCAGGGATGTAAAGGGGGATAAAACAAGCATCACACTCGTTTTAGTTTGCAAACAGGGAATTATATACATGGCTATTTAAGCACAAGTAAAACTCAACATATACATCACATCAAGTGACGTCATGCAAATTATAAACAGTGTGTCTTTGAGGCTTTTCTGTCTTTATTGACCTTGCTTGTTGTTTAGGGCAGAAAATCTATCAATTATTGCTGCTGTCGATACTTTAAGGTCATGTTGGGGGGGGTATGTGTGTGGTGTATTAAAGGTCAGAAAATGATGGAAAATAACCATCACAATTTCCTACTGAGATTGCATAAGATTATTCACTCTGGTATATAATAATCTTAAAATTATCATCTGATTAATTGATAGTTTGGTTTATAAAAACATCAACAAATAGAGAAAAATGTCACTCACAAGTTCCATAGAGGAGAACCCAAAAATATTTACATTTACATTGATATAATAAAAGCAAAACCTCATTTAAGAAATGCTGGAAAGAGAGTTTAATCTAAATTTTAACTGGATAAAAAGCCAGTTATCTAAATGGTTCTTAATTAAGTTTCTTCTGGACGGACTGGTCGAGTAATCGGCTAACCTTTCCAGCTCTAATGTGCTTTACCAGCCAGTCTGCGGGACAAAAAAGCCAAAGTGGTCCAGTAATACTGTGGAGCCACAGCCTGTGTGTGAGGGTTACAAAAGGGAAGGGGAGGAGGCTGTAATTCTACACCGGCAGGGCAGGACCGCAGAGCCACCCTGTTCAACTTTTATCCCCTAGAATAATCATGAAATAATTTCTAGAACAAACCAGGAAAGTCTTCTGGTTCAGAAGAAGAAGAAGACCAAGTTTTGCGAGGCGAAAGCTGCGAACAGCCTGACGAGGACAAGCTAACAATGCTGCAGCGTAATGCGAATAAAAAACGCATCGTTGAGGTTTAATAACGCAACATAACATCTCAATAAACGTCTCTTTCTTCCTCCAAACACTGTCTCTGCTGTGATGTGGCGGGAAAATGTAGTTAGCGTTGGAATAAGAGGCACCGGAGCCGTTATCGTTCACCGAGAGGAAAACAAAGAACTCACCTGCGGCAGAAGAAGATGTAAACCGAGTTTCAAAACCGGGATTAAAATCCTTAAAACTGAGGTAGATACGTTACTTTTCGAAAAATAGAAAAACGTGAGGTTTCTTCGCGGAAGAAATAAAAATATAAAACCGTTAATTTAGGGACTGTACATCGGGGAGTCACAGTGCGGTTCAGCTTTTTTTCCTTCAGTCCGTTTCCTCCTCGGTCCCCGACTGCTCCTTCTTTTGTTGTTGTTGTGGAGCTCCAACAGCTGATCGCAGTGACGTCGCCAGGGACAGCCTATCAGAGGGGACGGGCCTGTGAGCCGCTCGGCCAATCACAAACGGCGATACAGGCT